GCCTTGAAAAGCGCTATATAAATCCAATCCATTATTATTATTATAATCATATCTATGTTTATGCCTAGCCTTACACAGACCTTACATAATTTTCACACAACCTTAATTATTGATGATTATTATAAAGAACTGCTCATAATGTTGGCAAAAGACAATGCAGACAACTGCAACTGCAACTGAATGCAAAAGTTAAAATATACTTTTCTAACTACACTAGACGTGATATTTTGTGACATTCTTTAGATTTTATTTTTTTTGAAAAACCTGGTAAAAACAGAGATTAAAGTTACAGAGTTGTGATAAACGATATTCAGAAAACTATTCTTCCATCTTTCTCTACTGTCAAATCACTGCTGCCATAAACAGTGTTCCCCAAAAACCCTTATTTATGTGATCGTTTCTTAATAACGTTTAACTTTACAGTAATGGATTACACAGCAGTGGGGAACACATTTCATTATAAGAAATGTCTTTCAGAAAGTGTTGTAACTAAATTTAAGGATATAATTCTTCTACTTCTACTCGCTATGTGCCAAAACAGTACAGAGCAGCTACCTAAACTCTACTCCCAGAGAAGTAGATTATTCTTTTAATAGTTTTATATCCTCATGCGTGTGGATTCTGTATCACTTTAACCATAACTAGTAATGATGTCATGAATTTCTCCACAAATAAAAATTTAACAGTTAGAGAAAAAAAATATTCATAATCATCTCACAGATATATAATTATGTACAGCAGTTTCTTATGTCATCTACTTCCAGCATACTGCAGTCAGGATTGTGGAGGACTGCATGGGAGCATGTCTCACGTGGGTGAAAACCCCTCGCCCCCCTCTTTCTGACTAAGACGTGTACCCAGATGGACACATTTGCAGGACTATAAATCCCGCTGAGCAATTCTCCATATGAGACACATAAATGTCGTTGAACTCGAGCACTGGGAGAAACATCGCCACTTTCAGGGATTTATTTAAATTAATTAATTTAATGGGGTGGCTGTAACTCAGAAGATAAAGCAAGTCATGTGCCAGTTGGAGGGAGATGACTTGCTGGAGCAGAAAATAGTTCATCTTAATGTCTTTGTTTTTTATCTGTGGATAGATAATCAAAGTAGTCTGGGCTTGAAAAAAGGTGGAAAACCCCCCAAAACTAGATACTAAATTTTTCATTCTCTCAGACTGAAACTTCTAACATCAACAATCACTTCCTCCAAACGATCAACGTGTCTAATAGATCCCATTCATTCAAGACTGCTCAAAGAAGTCCTAGTATTCATGTTTTGATGTTAAACATGATTATTTCTATTAATGGGCTTAAGTATCACAGTTGGCAATAATCAAACCGTTAATTAAAAAGTCAATACTTGACCCAGCTGTCGTTGTTGTCTTTGCTGTCTCTGACAGTGGACTCATCTCTGTGCTTGTGCTGCCAGACCTCAGTGCAGTGTTTGACACTGCTGACCATAATGTTTCACTAAAGAGATTATGCATGGCATAGTAACCCAGTATGTTCATATAAAGAGGGAGTCTTCCTCACACATAGGATTAAAAATGAGTACATCAGAGAAAGCTCGAAGTCTGACAGGCGAGGTTGTGATAGTTTGGACATGTGCAGAGGAGTGAAAGTGGATATATTAAACAATGGATAATGAAGATAGTGCTGCCAGGCAGGAGGTAAAGACGTAGTGAAAGAGGAGATGCAGAGAATTGGTGTCACAGAGGGGGATGCTGAGAGGGGGTGAGATGGAGGCAGATATCACAGGCCTGCAAAAAAAAAATTCAGCTGCATTGGATATTTGCATACAGTTTTTGTTTTTTACTTTTTTTTGCAAAACTTGAAGAGTTTTCATTTAAAAAGCACAGCAGCAATGAAAAAAAAATCAATACTTTATTACAATTTTTGGTTGCAGACCTGTGTAATGTGCTGTGGCAACCCCTGAAGGGAGCTGCAAAAAGATGATGAAGAATCCATCCATCCAAATCAGGGTCAATTATTTGAAGTGCTAGCTAGCATTAGAAGGGGCAATGCACAAAGTCCAAAAAAACAAAACAAAACTCAGATGTTGGGATTGTAGAAGTGATGTAGAAGCGGTAAAGAGAGTTTCTCAGTCAGAGAAGCTGAAACAGAAAGCAACCTCTTGTGAAGGACCTACCAAAATAAAGAAAGATGCTTTGGTTATGAGCAAGAAGGATTTTGTGTTAGTTGTGGTGGATGTAATAAACTGCACGACTCAAATAGACAAGAAAACTGAACAAATCCTAAATTGTGAAGGCTGCAGACAAATACCTGGGAATCATGAGTCCAGAATGGGAGAGAGTTGAGGAAATGATAAGTGGTACGAATCCTAGCTCAAACTCATGGGGTAGTTCATTATAGTCATTTTATTTCTCAATTACAAAAAAATGACATGCAATATGTATCCAGGAAACATGGTTAAAACAGTGGAAAAGTGGAACTTACACATGGATATACGGTTATTAGGAATGGTAGTAAGGATGGTAAAAGGGAAGGAGTGGTCACATTTGTGGAGACTGGAATAAGGTACAGATTAGTCAGTCCAGTGCTAATAGGATTTTAAGGACAGGGTGGGGCTAGTGTGTATTAATAATGGCAAAGGAACTTGATATAATAGTCTGTATGTACCTTGGTGGCATGAGGAGTGTAAGTAAAGCAGTAAAGAACAGAAAAAGAGCATTTAGACAGCTGAAAAATTACCACTCAATAAAAGCATTGATTCACTACAAGAGCACAAGCGAAGAATTAAAAGGTCTACAAAGCATACATATTGGAGGCAATGTAATAGTACTGTAATAGTATAGGCAGAGAGACATGGTTAGTGGACATTTGGGGTGTGGTGAGGAGGACAAACAAGCTTCCAAACAGTGGGGACAGAGAACAGAATAGCGATTAATAATATAGACAAGGCAGAGCTCAATGTTCAAATGTTTGTAAAGATTCATAGTTCTGGTAATTTATCAGATATTCCTAAACAGTGCAGGAATGAGACGCTGGCAAAGAACCTTAGATGCAGGGTAAATATAAAAAGAAATGAATTCAGAGACAGTTTGGACTTACTGTTCAGTATGAATTAAGAAAGCATTAACAAATGTTCGTCACACCTCTCCAGGTAAAGACAGTAAATGTTATACTGTGTTGGAGTACATGGATAATGACTGAGTTGTTGCTGTTTTGTGATTATTTAAAGCAGCTTGGGAAACGGGTATAATTTCATCTACATGGAAACAGTCTGCAATTGTTCCGATTTTAAAACCCAGAAAAGATCAAATTACAGACCAATTAACGTCTCAGTTAGGTAAAACTTTAGAAAAGATGGTCACTGAAAGACTCACTTATCTTTTAGAAAGCAAGTGCCTGTTTTCATCATACCCAAATGGACTCAGTAGAGGTAGAAATGCAATGGATGCTCTGCTATGCCTACAGTCAGAGATCAGGAAGGCTCAGACTAACATGTTGTTTAACAGGTTGGACTTGGGGGGGGGGGGGGGGATTTCTGGATGCAGAATAAGCCAAGCCCTCAGAATTTGCAGTGGTGCATTTAAATCTCCAGTAACAGCCATGCAGGTGGAAATGGGAGAAATGTCCTTCCAAAGTAGAAGACATAAGCTCAAGCAAGAGTGCTATGAGCACAGTAAAAGCAACTTATATAGCGACTTATACATTCAAAAGGCAATAACAAAAAGTCCAGTCATACACTTGTTCAGTATAAAGCACAGATTTACTTGGAGAAACAATATACAGATGAAGTCCTAATATTTGCAGATGGATCAAAAGACCGGTGCTGCGGTCTTCATTCCTCAACTTAGAGTAACTATTAGAAAGAGACATTTAATCAATCATAACACAGTAGAGCTGGAAGCCATAATGCTAGGTTTGCAGTGGGCAGAAATATTCAGAAAGCTATAGTTATTGCATCTGACAGTTTATCAGCACTAATGAAACTTGCAGACTGCAATAAGGACAGGTGAACAATGGTGAAGATTGTGCAATGGTGGCATAAATGTTGGATTTCTTTGGGTTCAAGCAGATGTTGGTCTGGAAAAATGAGGTAGATGTATTGGCAAAAAAGTCATTGAAATCTCTTGATTACAAATCCAAAGTTAAAAGTATTATAAACAGCTGAATCCTAAGAATATGGCAGGTATGTAGGACTACAAGAGCCACAAGGTTTGGAATAATCAATTCTTAAATGTGCTTAAATAATGAATGAATCAATCAATCAAATATGCATTAGTAAATTCCATTTTTATTATTTCATTTGTTCAAACATTACTAAAGTAATTTATTGTTTAATAATTAAATTTAAAATAAAAACACTATTTTTAAAACAATATTTTAAAATGAATTGTCATTCCATTAATAAATACTTAAAGAAAAGAGTTTCACAAAAAATAAATCCTCATTTGAAAAACCATTTTCGAATTCAAAATTGAAAAAAAAAAAAAAGGTTTTCAATTAAAAAAAAAAAAAAAGATTTTGAAAAGAATTTGAGAACCAGGGGCCCGCACAAGGGGGCAGTAGCGCTGCTCTAATACGTCACAGCTCCCACAAACTGAGAGATGAAGAAGCTGACGTCACTGTTAAAGATGGAGGCATTTGCGTTTCGACGTTAGCAGACAGATGAGAGCCTGAAAGGATCTGCGTTATACTCTGAATGAAAGGTGTAATAGGCTAAATCTGGGCGATTACTGACTCCTAGTAGGGAGGGGATCTGCACAGTGATCTTCTGCGCGGAGCTCGGAGCGCTCTGAGCTCAGGTTGTCTCTGCAGGCCTCGGACTGCACTGGCAAGGAAAAATAGAGGTATGTGCAAAATTTGTTTTATTGGGTATTTATTTATCATCACGATATAGCACTACTGGAACACACCATGTCTGATTGGGTGACTGATCGTTCTTGTATTTCCCAGTGGAGAAGTTTTTCACTTGAATCGGGTCTTATTTGTATGATTTTTAAGTCTCAGTAGTCAGTATCAGTAATATTAGTTTATTCAAATAAAATGATTCATAGCTGTTTATATGTTTACGTTTATATTTTTTGAAAATATGTCTTCAAACTTTTTTATGATGGATGACATAGTTCAAACCTGATGTGTTAAATGGTTTTAATCACTTAGGGTAGGGTATCCTTAGTGGTCATGTAGACATATTTGTATATATTTTGTAAAAAAAAAAAATGCAAGTTTTGAAGTTTACATTTTGAACGTATTAAAGATGTACAGTTATTGTAGTGGAGGTGGTTGAGAGTTATTCAGCTCCTTCCCTACAGCATAACCAGCCTTGTGGATGAGTTTGAGTCTGTTTATACCCGTGACCCCAGGGTCAGATTGTATGCATCCTTAGCATTAGCATACTGTAGGTCAAAGTCAAATTTATGTCAAAGAATCAACTGACATAAAAACACAGGAAAAGATGACAGAATATAAGAAAGGGCACATAAAATGAGAGAACCTGAGTAACAACACAAATAAGAATTATATTGTGTATATTTGTGTTATAATAAAATAACACAAATTAAATCAGAATGAGTTCTGACCACCCGTTCTGATTTAAAGCCAGGTTCTGTATATGTTTTGGGGAAGTCCAAGATAGATAAAATGACCTCCTGGAACAGACCATAAACTGTAAAGGTTGCAGTGTAGCGTCCAAGTTGAGACAGCTGAAATCAAAGCAATGAAGGCACTCAGGTGCTGAGTCCATAACCAGGCTGTGGCAAAGTGAATAATTTCACATGCGGCTGTGGGTGGTGCAGTGATTAGCACTGTTGATTCTGTCAACCAGCTGGGTCCTTTCTGTTTGCATGTTCTCCCTGTGTTTGCGTGGGTTCTTTCTGGGCACTCTCCGGTTGTCTGTCTCTGTGTTGGTCCTATGACAGACGGACAACCTGTCCAGCCCCGACCCCCACTGTTGGGTAAGTTCCAGCAGTGCACAGTTCAGTGTTAAAAAGAATAGCAAGCCCCCCTCCCTTCTGCCCACGACTCACAGAAAGCTGTCCCTGTTGGCCCAAACAACAGGGTGGAAGAGACGTATGCGTTGTCATCCATCTGCCTGTGGACTGCCGGCTCTGTGGTTCAGGCATTGCTCTCATTGATCATACCTGCATCTGATGAACACCAATTCAATTTCAAGCGTGTCCTCAGCAAATTTGAATCAAAGTTTACAAAAATTTGAGTATTTTTGAAATGACAAAAAGGCTTTGACGAAATAGCGTCTCATCTCCACTAATAAAAGAATTAATTGTTGAAAATAAGTAGCGTGTGGAATGTGGCAAATTGCTTTAGAGCAATTTCAAGTTCAGCATAGTGGAATTAAGTGTCTATTTTAATGTTATGTCATATGCCTGTGTTTGAGTGATAAATCGTCTTCTTTTTGTGATTTTAGATGCAGCACAGCTGAGAAGAAGCAGGAAAAGTTCGCAATCTTTTACCAGTGAGCAGGGAAAATGAGTTGTTCAGAAGAGGTGAGCTCAAAAAGAAACCAACATGTTTCAGGATACATGGGCAACAAAAATGAGAATGAGCATCACATTAGCATCACATAGTGCAGATTTGTGTATATGGCTCATCATATCTGATGACTGTCTAACCCTGCTGTAGAGTTTTTCTCAGCATTGCAAACACTAATTACATTGTACAATGTCTGTAGAACCATTCTGATGATGTTTTACTGCAATGATCAATTTTTAATGTTGACACGTCACATAGTGGATGTTTCAAAGAGACTTTCAATAGTGTGGGAGCATTTCACAAAAAACAAAGTTGAATGCAAACTGTGCAAAGCAGAGCGTTCCTTGCATGGTAGCGCGACTGCAGTGCATGAGCATTAAGCAACTCTGGAGCCGTCATGTCAACGTTAGAGTTTTAGAGAATTAAGTTTGTTTCTATTTAGCGTCAGTTTGACACCTTGTTAATTAGGGATGGGTATCGAAAACCGGTTCTTGTTGAGAACCGCTGGCAGTTCTCGCTGCAGTCTACCGGTAGCATCTCCTTTCAGGCCAGGATAGACGAATGTCACCAAGCAGTGACTAAGTTTGTGGTAAAAGCCTTGCACCCATTTGCCACAGCAGATGCCCCGATTTTCGGTAAGTGAATGTGTTTAATTGTAGGCAGGGACATTACTGGATATTCTTGTGTAAATGCTACAGAATAATTTATGTTATACTTTGTTATTGCTCCAGAAGAATATTTATTTTTTTAATAGTTTACATTTACAATTTTTTTTCCTGGGGACCCTGTGACACCCCATTGAAGAGCCATAGGCTGGATCTCTTAAGATCTCACTGTTGGGTTTGTAAGGCCATGTTACTCCTAAATTTCTATCTTGTTCAAAGAGAAGATATAAAACAAAGTTCTAAGCCAATCGACCTTAGTGTTCTCCTTTTTAAAAAAAAAGAAAAAAAAGAATCGATAACAGAATCAATAAAGAATCGAATCGTTAAACAGAATCGAAAATGGAATCGGAATCGTGAAAATCTTATCAATACCCATCCCTACTGTTAATGTATCTTCGTTTACCTGTTGGAAACAAGCTACTTGCTTGCCAAGTGAACACCAGTTCAGTTATGTTAGCTAACAGGTGAACTGCGATAGTAAACCAGTGACCTGGAGTTGCTGTTTCCTTGATGTGGTTGTTGTTCTTGTTTTGGGTTTTTTTTGTGGGTGTGTGTGGTTTGGTTTTCTTGTTTTGTTTTTTTGCATTAACTTTAACATTATTTGACATCAGTTTTTGATAACTAATTCAATTCCATTTTATTTAGATGGCACCATATCCCAACAACAGTTGCCTCAAGGCACTTAATTTAGTGCCTTACTAGATTAGTAACAGCTTTGTGGGTTTTTGTTTGTTTGTTTTCTGTTTTGATTGTAATAAGTGAAGGGTGTCTAGATGATTTTTGTGCTGAAGGACAGGCTCATGCAACCAGCAAATGGTTGACATCTTAACAGAGAGGATTCTCTGCCATGTCAACAACATGAGACCAATATCCATAGTTAAAAAATGATAATCAGCACAAACCATTCAGGTTACAGCTTACACAGCTTTCCAGAATTTATTTTACAAGGCTAATGGAGGGGAAGTATGAAGCTGCTCTTTGTACGACGGTGTTTGCTAGTTCACCTTACATGCATTAATGTAATAACGTGGTTAGCCTACTCAACGTAAATTACACACGAACAACATTAAGCTACTCACGCAGAGAAGAACGGCTGCTGCTGCCATCATCATCCGTCATCATTTCTGCTACACTGGCAGGGCTAGGGGCCAGGACTCTACTCTTCGGGTTTTTGGGGGATGTTGCTAACTTCGGGTCAGATAACAAGCACCACACCAGCAGTAGATGTGCTCGGTGTGAGGTCTCGCAGCAAGCTATCAAATACGGCGCATTTCTCGGCTTTTAACAAAATGCTATACGTCGCCAGGTGTTTCATCAGATTCGAGGCGTTACCTCTTTGCACAGTATTACCTTAAAGCACTTGTTGCAGGCTGCTGAATTTGTACTTCACAGCAAAAGATGCAGCCAGAATTTGACCGCTTCGCCTTGGGCATTTTTAATCTGTAGCTCTGCTCTAAAAGAACGTACGTACCTGGGCCCGCCTACTATACTCGGAAAGGTAAAATGATTGGCTAGAATCCAAAGTGTATGACATCTCAGGGAAAAAAAAGCACAGAAATGTGCGCTGCTTTTCGGTCTGGTTACTACCGTTTATGTCAGAACCGATACCGGTACCCATCCCTAGTAATCGGTTAACGTTCTGTAGATTGATATGAGATTTGTAGGATAGCGAGCTGTCTAGAATGACACCAAGGCTCTAATGGGAGAACTATGGAGTTATCAGTAGTGAGGGTGAAATGATTTGCCTTGAGTAGGTTGGATTTATTGCCTATAAGAAGGATTTCAGTTTTATCCTCATTGAGCTTAAGAATATTAGAGCTGAACCAGGGTTCAGCTAGGACTGAATGAGAGATGGCGTTGAAGGCTGAACTCGGATCCAAAAGGATGAGAATGTTCAGAAGACCAGAGTCAGCTCTGAGTAAAATATTATCAGTAACTTTAAATAAAGCAGTGTCTGTACTGTGACATGAGCGAAAGCCAAATTGAATTCTGTCGTAGATATTATTATTAACCAAGTGTGAATGAAGCTGAGCTATGACTCTTTTTTTTCCCCAAGTATTTTAGAAATGATGGGTAGATTAGAAATTGGTCAGAGGATGTTAAAGTTGTCAGGCTCCAAAGAAAGTTTTTTCAGTATATGAGTGACTGAAGCAATCTTGAATAAGGAGGGAACGATACCGGTGGTGAGTGAATGATAGCAGAGATGAGTGGGAGTAAGGAAGAGAGGCAGGATTTCACAAGTCCTGTAGGCATAGGATTAAGATGATATGTAGCCCGCTTTGATTTACATATAAACTCAGAAATATCACATATATCAGGAACATGAAAGGTGGAAAAAGGCTCAAAATGGAGAAAACCTTCTGAAGTGGGGGTAGACAACATTTGAACTGAGTTGGTGGTGAATGTTATTAATTTTCATAGTGAAGAACAGCATCAAGGACTTACAGGTTTCAGATGAATAAAAGTGTGGTGATAAAGCGTCAGGGGGGTTGAAGAAGTTTGTAGAAAAGCAAAAACAGGATCCTGGTGTTACCCTCATAAGAACTGCCTTATCCTCATGCCTTCTGTCACCCCAAGCGATCGCAGCAGATGGCCCCGCCCCTCCCTGAGCCTGGTTCTGCTGGAGGTTTCTTCCTGTTAAAAGGGAGTTTTTCCTTCCCACTGTCGCCAAAGTGCTTGCTCAAAGGGGGTCATATGATTGTTGTGTTTTTCTCTGTATTTATTATTGTAGAATCTACTGTACAATATAAAGCACCTTGAGGCAACTGTTGTTGTGATTTGGTGCTATATAAATAAAATTGAATTGAATTGAACTGATAATACTTGCATAAAAGGTTTGTTTGGCCTGGTTAATGGAATCTTTATACTGGAGTCCACAGATTTCTGCATTATGCTCTAGTTCCCGAGCTTTGGCCTTCAGTGCTCAGAGGTCATGGAGCAGAGCGAAGGAAACAGAGTGGGATTTTACAGAGCCATAGAATCAAGGACCTTTTGGAGTGAGTGGGAAAGCCGATTAAAAACCCTCAAGAGAGGGTCGACAAATCAGCTAATTATTTTTCTGATTGGTCCATCAGTCAGCATTATTTCAATCACTCCTATCTCCACTTCCTACGAGCACAGGTCCTGTTGCAGGCTCCAGTACATGCTTTACCTTATCTGCTCAAGTCTGCCCACCTGTGAACCTCATGATTCCAGGCCAAGCTTGTAGTTAATGATGAAATAATAATTTATAAAACAATATAGAACTTTAAGTAATTTATAAGTGCTGTTAACAATTCTCAAATGTGTTTTTAAGTTATCTATTAACTCTTAATAATTGCTGTGGGCTCCTCAATGTAGGTTCTCTCTGGGTACTTCAGGTTCTTCTCACATTCATGTATGTGGTTAGGTTAACTAGTGAGTCTAAACTGGCCAGAGGTGTGGCTAATTTCTCTCTGTGAGTGGATGGATGTATGGATTGATTGTGTCCTGGCTCTTTGCTCTCCCCTCTTACCCCTCACCCCCATCTGGTCTGTTCTACCTGACTTTGGGTTAGAGGTGGCATGCACAATGGACAGGACACAGGTTTTGTGTTTCCTCCATTCTGATAATTGTTTAAGCACTGCAATAGCAAATCTCATACTGTATCTAAGAATAAGCAGCACCGTATTTAAGCACAAAAACCTATGTAACTTTCCCTAAAATTACAATCTGGGCTGTATCTAACAAACCTGAAAAAACTGCATCTTTTATATGTTAACACTCCATGATATACAGGGACTATTTGAGCAAGTTCTCAGCTGACCCTAATTTGTCTTTTTTTCCCCACTTAGCTGAAACCGTCAGATCCAGACAGAAGCAGACCTCACCAGTGTCTGACCTGTGGGAAATGTTTCACTCGGATCTGTAGTCTAAGAAGACACGAACTGAGTCACACATCAGAGGAACTATACCACTGTGAACAGTGTGGCAGCAGTTTCAGCCAGTTAAACGCTTACAAGATACACCTGTATACTCACCCTGAAGACACCTCATACTGCTGCAACAAGTGTGGGAGAGATTTCAGTGACCAGAGTTCCTACAGAAAACACCTTCGCGACCACACTGGACCGTATCAGTGTGAGCAGTGTGAAAAGAGTTTCAGTTACTTAAGTATTTACAAAATACACATGCGTGTCCATACTAAAGAAAAGCCATACTGCTGTGACAAGTGTCCCAAGAGTTTTAGCTTTTTAAGCTCATACAAGCGGCACCAGCTGAGCCACAGTGGAGAAAAACCTTACCAGTGTGATTTTTGTGGAAAAAGTTTCACTCAGTCAGGCCATTTCAGTCTTCATCTGCGGAACCATACCGGAGAGAAACCATATGAGTGTGGCCAATGTGAAAAGAGCTTCAGTGACTTAAGTAGTTACAAGATACACCAGCGTGTCCACACAGGTGAGAAACCATACTGCTGTGACCAGTGTGGCAGGAGTTTTTCTCAGCTGGGGAATTATAAATCACATTTACGCATACACACGGGAGAAAAACCATTCCAGTGTGAATTATGCAAGAAAAGCTTCTCTATTTCAAAAACATACAAGCAACATATTCACACTCATACGGGAGAGAAACCCTATAATTGTAAAGAATGCGGAAAGAGTTTTGGTCGTCTAAGCAATTATATTCGCCACCTCCGCATCCACACTGGAGAGCAGCCATTCAGCTGTGACCAGTGTGGGAAATGTTTCAATAGCTCATACAGTTACAACCGCCACTTACGTGTTCACACTGGAGAGAAACCATATTGGTGTTCACATTGCAAGAGACTGTTCACTCGGTCACAGTCCTTAAAGACTCATCGCTGCACTGTAATACATGATGATGACGAGAGAGAGAGTGAGGTGAGCTGCTCCTCGACCAATTCCAACCTACAGAAAGAGGTGACAAACTAATGTACATGTCAAATGAACATGTCTGACATGATCAAAATACCTAGACGAAGCTGATAACTTGAGAGAACTTTTTTGATAAAGAGGATGTTTAAAGGGACAAGTGGATTGGGAAAAAAATGTCCCCCACACTATAAGAGCTCTGGACACCTTGTTATTGTTATCTTTGGGACTCTTTTGGGAATCTCGTGTGATATCTTTGTTTTTTTTAGGTGATGACAGGGCCAATACTGGTTTATACTAGAATCTGATAATGGCCACATTTAAAGATTAATGCGAACAGCCAAAAAAACCACTAGCCACTGATCTGACCACTAGGCCTGTCGGGTCCAATCAAGGGCCTGCCCGTCTCTGCCTGAGGTGAGCTCTGTTGTCAGATGGAGGCAGTATATAAAGTATGTGTTGTTGGTTTGTGACTCACAACATAGAAAGAGCTGATAAGTGTTTAAAAACCATGGAAAACGGCCACTGTCTGTGCTTTTCATGTTTAGTTAGATTTTTTTTTTCTTTTTTTAAATTCTATGAAGTTTTTTGTTTGTTTGTTTTTCATGGTTCTCTTATTACCGGTTAAAACCCCTATCCCTGCTCTATACCTGCCCACTTGTCAACCAAATAGGTTTTGGGAGTTGCTTACATCATCTGCTTCCAGCTGTGCACAGCCAGGATCTTGGAGACTGCCCAGGAGCTTCTAAAAACCCCTCTTCCTGCTCTGTCCAACTGAAAAATGTATGCAGTCGGACACATTTGCAGGACCATAAAACCAGCTTTACTCTGACACACAGATGCTATTTTGAATAAAAAAGAAGTGAAAAGATTCACTTCTTTGAATTTAGCAGACTTTTGATGTCACTTGCTTAATTGAATTGAATTGAATTGAATAGCCCTTTATTGGGATTGTATGAAATTGGCTGCTCCACAGTAACTTTGCCAGGATAAATCATAAATAGTAGACAGTAGGAATAAGCAACAACCAGGAGAAATGTATGCAAAACAAGAGAAAAGCACACATTAAAGAACAAAAAGTACAAGGTCCCACCGAGATTTGTACCCTAATAGACTGGATTTGATAGAGCACTTCTATACTTGCTCAAGCTGCATCAGCCCAACCACACACATTCATAAAGTGCTGTATCCTGTGCACTTCAAACACATCACTACAGCACAGCATCAGGGCTAACGGGGATGCAGTTAGTTGACTGGAGGTGGCCTGCTGGTTACATGATCAGGGTAGTGAAATATCAGTACTTTAGCCGTGATAGTAGTAATATATAGTTAATTAGTATACTGTGATCACTTTTATAGAAATGTGATGGTGATCATGGGAAGACTTGAGTGGCCCACATGGGTCTCATCAATCATGAAATATCTAACAGAAATAACTATTGAACATGCTCACCCCTTTTAAATTTCCTAAAATGCAGAAATTCTCCAGATTAACCCGTGTATGGTCTTCATTTTTGGGACCTTCTGGTATTCTTCTGAACATATTTGGGGTTTTAGTAACAAGTCTGAAATAAAATTTCCCTTCATTAACCATTAACATATTATGTCTGTATCTCATTTTTAAACAGAAAAAAGCACGTTTAATGATTGCAATCAGTCTTTACTGGAACACAATTAGCAACAGACGTGTGGTTAGTGATTTTTCATAAGGTTATATTTTATTTTAAGCTTTTAGTATAGTGGATTTTTATCTTGGAGAAAAGGAATTGAGACAATGTCCTCATTGGCATAATATGCGTTCCAACCATTGTCAGCTTTGTTTTGAGAAGCTACTATCCGAGGTTGTATGATGTGAAAAACTGTCCCCCTAGTTTCTTTCAGCAGCTCCTCCATCTGGCTTCTGTGTATAAATGTTCTGTTCCATACATTAAAATACAGTAAGATCACATACACCCATATACTGCCTTGAAGGGTCAGGGGCGGAAAACTCGACTCCAGGTTCACTGCGAGATATATAAAAAGAGGCTGAGTAAGTATCAACTAGGCCTGAAGGATGCAAGGGAGTCATTTTTCTCTGAGATTATTCATAGAAACAACAATAATGCTAGGACATTATTTGCTACAGTGGAAAGATTAACTACTTCTCCAGTGGCAATAGCCCCTGAACGAAGCTCCACCAGGGCCTGCAATGAATTTGCCAGCTTCTTTATTGAAAAGGTCTTGAAAATCAGAAGGTCAGTTGGCACATTAGTTTCAACCCCAATACTGACGTTAAGCCCAATTAGCACTTATGCAGAGAAAATGACTCACTTTCAAACAATAAATCAATCAAGCCTCGATAAAATTATTGAGAATCTAAGCTCTGCCACCTGCTGCTTGGATATATTAC